AATGTCGCTAATAATAAGCTGTTAAGGTTGTTTAATGAGATATGTTTTTACATTAATAGTTTTGTACTGAACACCCTGTTTTATTTGGAAAAGCCTGCTTTCTATTTGAAGGATATTTTTGCTTTTGTGAGTCAGCCCCCTGCACCTGAAGGCAGCACACAGTGTAAAAAACACCGAACGAGACATAAAAGGTCACATCTGGACCAGCAGGATGAACTCGCACCAAAATAAATAAACAGAACATGTAGTGATAGACTATGCTTGAGCACACAAAGACGCCGACTCTAAAGCACTGCCATGTGCTGTCATAGTCAAAAGAACCAAGGCACTAACACCTGTCTGTGGCACTGAATCCGTGACATAAATAATTAGAAATGGATCCCAAAATATGTTGTTTCTTTTTAAAAATACAAAGCTCGGTATTATTTCAAACACGTAGGCGCTGCAGTTTTACGTAAAACTTACGTCAACAGTAAGAAATAATCAGTTTCTTAGGGACTATTTCAGTAGTGGATTAATACAAATTAGGTGCTCTAGCGAGTATTTAGGACAGGAGGTGTGTGTGGCACTGATTCAGAATAAACTGTGTGTTCATGGTAATAAGGGAACATGTCACCCACTATAACAGTGTGGCTCATGAACTCCTTCACTGAAAATTTGCCAGATTTATGTTTTTAAAGGATCAAACGTGACAACCTGTCCACACCTGATATGAAAAGCGCCATATCTCACGATTCAAACAGCTTAAACCGCTTTAAGATGACGACACCAGAGCAGCTATCGCTTCTTATTTTGTTGCGAGAATGTGCACCCAATAAAACGGCACTTTATTGCGTTTTCTGTCATCTGTAAAAGAAAAAGACACGCTGAATCGTATCGTGCTGCGCAACAGCCTCCAACAAATAAATAGTTTAAGAAAAATTCATTTTAAGGGGTAAAAAGGTCATTTACCACCAAAATTTTACATTTAAATGTTTCCCCTCTGTTAGTGCTGTTTGTGCATCTCTTTTATTTTGGTGGGACTTGCTCAGTTTTGCAGATGCTGGTGTAGATGTCTATTCTTTTTTATTGTAATGAAGCTACTGGCTCTTGGCTTGTGGTGCTCAAAGTGCTGCTACTATTACTAATAATGCTACTACAACTAATAATAATAAAAACGGGAAAACGCAGCACTAATGTCTTTTTCCAGAAAGCACGACCCCGTTACTCAAAACAGTCCACAAACCTACTATTTTCCGTCTGCTGAACTAGATACCTGCCTTTTTTCAATATAATGGAACTAAAAGCATGGAAAATGAAAAAATTACAAAATAAAAATGAAAAACTCAGCTGTAATGTCTCTAATGTCCCCGGTATTAAAAAACAAAAATCTACAAACCTCGTTCTGTTCGGTTTTATGTATGTTTCTACAGATCTACACCCACCAAGCAGACTGAATCTTCCATCTACCTGCGACGAGAGGGTTGTGCATGTGCGGGACAGGATATAAATATTAATGGAGGCCCCCCTCACCTTAGCCAGCTGTCCACTTCCTCTGGTATGTAGAAAATAGTTCAGACGAGCAGTGACAGCAAATAAAATGCCCATAAATGTAAATAAATGACAGCAAAGAACTGAATTAAATGGCAAGACTACAAATTATTGCCAAAAAGAGGTGTAAGCTTAAGCTTTAGCATATTACACCTCCCTGTTTTTACACAGCATATTCTAAACTACACATAACTAGGATGATTTTTTAAAAGAGGCACAGAAGCACAGATTTTCAAATACATGTTTTTAGCCCTTGAGCATCACAAGGCCAGTGCCATTTAGTACATTTATATTAAAGACTAAGGCAGATATCTCTACAGCTGATATCTCCAAAACTGGGCAACCTACACCAAAATAAATGAGATGAATAAACATCACTGAAGGCCAGAGGGGACATGTGTACATTTAATTTGGGGCATGAACTGTTCTTTTAAAGTGCAACCTAGATTTAGATTAATGTGGCAATCCATCCATCCATCCATTCATCCATCCACCCAGAACATCCATCCATCCATCCACCCAGAACATCCATTCATTCATCCATCCACCCAGAACTAAGACATTAATCTGTCATTGACTTTAAGGTGGATAATGCTCAATTATAGCTCCATAAGCATTACGTTTAGGGTAGCTTTGCATGATTCACAGTTCAGAATAATCCTTATTTATCTCATACTGAACCTCAGTACAGCCTCTTCCCTCGTAGCCCACAGTGGGCAGGCCACAGAAGACCCATGCTGTGGGCCCTGTGTGGGTACACCCACTCTGGGTCTGTGTGGGGTAAGTGTGGGTTTAACTCTGCCTGCACAACCACCCAGTTCACCCACTGTGGGCCCCACACAAGCATGTTTCCTGGGATGTGATGTCTTTAAGGTCCTCTTCCTTTAAGCCAGCCTTCTTCTGATTGACTGCCCAAGTTCAGGTTCATATTAGCAATATTGCTCACATCACAGAGAGTGAAAAGTAGAAACAAACTGTGTGAATTGAGTATAAGCAGCCGCATACGCCTGATGGAAAACGAGGAAATGTGTGATAGTTTATTTATAATATTAACCTCGACCACAGCCTTTCTCTTCCAAAAACCAGGTCATCTTTGTGCCTAAACGTAACCGAACCACAACAGCGGCCAGATTACCTCCTGCCAAAGTAGGCGTCAGATGAGACGTGTGTCTGGAGAGCGTTTTTGGACTTCATTTGTCATTAACTTTGAACATTTATGATTTTAATGAGCAACAGCGGCGCTCTAGAGTGCAGAACATTTAAGAAAAACAGACAATGATTTTAATTCAGATGAGCTGATTGTTTTTGTTTTCATGGGATTTGTTAACACTAATACTTAGCTAGATTTACCCTCATAACAACAGGAGGGCCAACAAACATAAAGGCAGCCTGCTACACACACAAATACACCCACACAAACACACACTCCTCCTGCTCGGATGAGCTGTCATGCATTTGTACCTCGAGGCCACTTCACAGAGCACGAAGGTGTTAATTTGGTGTGTCACTTCATGACTAAGAAAATGGTCTTCCTCCTCAGCTGCAACCTTTAGACAAAAAAATTTAGGTGTGGAAGTATCCCCCCACCCCAAGCTCCTGACTGAGTGTGCCTGTGGAAACACGCACTACCAGAGTAAAGGGCAGGCCGGGGTGATTACCAACACCCATCTCCACCACCTCCTCTTACACCAACAAGCCAGTAATTCCCTGCAAGCCCTTTTGCGACGACTTTTGTGAATCCAGACTGCGTTAAGTGGAATCAGTGGCTGAGCGACTGTACCGCGGCGCCCGCTGACGCCTTTGACAGACAGTTAATAAGGATTCGTGCTCAATGCAACCCACAGAGGAAGGTGATTATGTCTGTAGGTAATTGGCCCGCTGACAGCGACATGATCCCCGGCCCCTGTTGTGACCTGCTTGAATAATGAAATAACAATGAAATGGCAAACGTGAGCTTCCCCCCCACACACGCCTTGCACCCATGGAGGTATGAGGCACTTTCCCTTTGAGTAGAAAGCTGAGTGCTGTGGAGGCAAAATAAAAGCAAATATGAGCATGAGGAGCTGATGTAGTAGTGTAGTTCAGGGTTTTCCCTCAGTGCTTTGTTTGCTTGCTCTTTGTCTGGAGCTAAAAGAGGCAGCTCAGAGCCATGCTGCACGATGAGTCACCTTGCCGGAGAGCCCAGAGCCCAAAACATGAACCTTTTATTAAAGGAAGATGTTTGAGTGGGCAAGACAACAACCTGGGGTCGATCCCTGTCTGTAACATCAAATTGCCTTGTATCCAAAACAAGGCTGAAGTGATTTATACTCAGTCCTGTGGCTCTCACAATACAAACTCTCAGGCAGATGTCATAAATTAGCACATGGGCTGTAATAACACTATACGCCTATCTTAGGGAAGTGACTAAATGGTAATATCCATCTGTGCTCCTAAAGGATTTACAGGGTTTCTAATTATCTCAGGCTTCGGGACTACCTGCTGATCCAGCCGGCACAGGTTTCCACACATCTGGTGAGACCAACATTTGGCCACAGACCAAAGCTACGCACTACTTATTGTTTTGTTTGGGCTCAAGAACTGGAAAGTAGGAGGAGAAAAATAGAAGCAATAATAGAAAACGTGTGACAAATTCATCACAGCCGACATCATTGTCTGACCAGGAACTGTGATCATCACAAGATCAATAGTTGATCATCGTGTTCTGTGACACATGCGGACGGGGGACAGTTGATTTACATTTACAAAATGATTGTGACTCATGCATATTCAGTGCCTCTCACTCTGTTTGTCATCCTGCAGGCCTAATTGGCTAACTTTCTTTGTTGCTATGCTGGCCGGATTTCAGATGTGTGGGAACTGCTGCCTTTCTGATTAGCTTACTTATGAAAACAGTGTTATTTAGATAACCAGATCACTGAGCAATCATCTTTCCCCCCACCAAAAAAATAAGGGGGGGGGGGGGGGGGTGAGAAGAAGGACAATAGTCGCCTCTAATTTGAAGCTGGGAGGACTGACAGCGTGCTTGGATGCACAGACTGTAAAAATGTCTTGAGGCGAATTTGGGGTTTTTAGGCTATAAAAATAAAACTTAAAAAAAAAAGAAGATTTGGCCTCATCTTAGATTATCTTTTTCCAAAGGATGTATTGGAGGGGAAGGTGGGTGGGAGAGATACAAATGCAGGACAGGATGGTAATATATATATATATATATATATATATGTATATATATATACAAATACCAAAATGGCAGATTACACTTGATAAAAAAGGAGCAACTTCCTAAATCCCCTCCTGATCTGGAACAATTCATGCATGGTGAAATAGCTCTCCACAGCCCCACAAAGGCTCATTCACAGCAGTGTGAAATGTGAAACAAACACGCTGCCTGCCCGCCCGCCGTCCACGTAGGACGTGGCATCAGCATCAGGAACCTCACTCTGTTTTTTTTTTTTGTTTTTTTTTGCTACCTGCTCTGGGCCTTGGAAGCAGATCCGGCACTGGGGGGTCCGCAGGCTGCTGGCGGTGCTGGCCAGGGACACGGCGTCCAGGCCCACTTGCAGCTTGGGCTCCTTCTCCTCAAACGCCAGGCTCCGGGGCCGCGGGTCGCTGCCGTAGTACTCCTCCTCGTCGTCCCGGGAATGGCAGTCGACGAAAGGCGGCCAGCCGCAGCCGCCCATCCCCAGACCTCGCATAGTGGTGTTGGTGTTGGTGTTGGACCGTCTATCTGTGTCTGAGCTGGACTGTCTTGAATCGGATCGCATAAACACCAGGACTTTCAGTTCATTAAAAAACATGCGGATTCGATACTTGAACATGTTTGGCCACATAAAGAATCCGAAATAAATAAATTAAGTGTTTTTATCTCCCCTCCTCTCCCTCTGTTATTGTTATTATTATTACTATTATTATTCATACATCCGATATGTTCATGGCTACTGTAGTATGTTCTACGATGCCACAACTGCTAATTGGAAAATCCAGAGAGGAGATAAAGGCTCTCGCCCCACTGATGGCATGTGTGTCTAAGCCAATGCGGATGAAAGATTTTCCCTTTCAGCTGGCCGACACACTCTTTCAATATTCATTACTCAAACAACTCAGCAAACGCCGTCTATCTGCGTCTTCCACCGCACCCCAGAAAACATTACAACTTGCACGGGTTTTGATTTCCACGGTCCATTTTCCTGCGCTCTCAAATACACCGTTTGTTATTGTTGTTGTTGTTTCGCTTTGTTTGGTTTTGTTTTCCACACGCACCGAGGCTCGCGGCAAAGAAAGAAAGAACGAAAGAAAGAAAGAAAAAAACAGCCTACATGTTTTTTGCTACCCGAAGCAGAAGACCGCGAGAGAGTGGACGAGTGGAGGAGAGAGCAACACAGAGCCAGGAAATAGAAGATGGGATGTAAAATACAACGACATGCCATCCACACAGCCACATCTGAGACTCTTGTCAAGAATCATAATCCAATAAAAATAGAAAAGAAGAAAAATTAGGGTGCGGAAGATGAAATGGAAGTTTGATCTGGATGTGATTATAATGTCTTTTTTTGTCCCTCTCACTGTAGCATCCCAAGCGTCAGATCATGGTCCCCCCTTTTCTCTCTATTTCATCTCCTTTTTGTAAAACCCCGGCTTGATCCACGAAGAATCCGTGCCATTCACCCCGACAATCCACGTCGACATCAAAAACACAATCCTGTGCATTTGCATTTCTTCTTTCCGTCTCTCTTTCCCCTCTCTCTCTCAGCAGCCTAGCTGGAAACACGGCAGCACAAAAACACCCGAAAGCCCCGTGCTTCCCATCTTCGCTCGATGTCCATCAGCATTTCATTGCAAGCACAGAACACGGGAGGCAACGCTGAAATGCCAGAGAGAGGCAGAATAATAAAGGCACCCTGCGATTTTTCTAATTAGAGAGAGACGGGGAAGACGCGTAAAGATGTCTTCGTTTCCGACAGCAATTACACGGCAGTAATGGCATTGATTATTGGATCAGATAGATGGTGGTGATGATACTGCTGGCGCTGATTTTCCTCCTCGAAATGGTCGGCTTGGAGATTGAACCAACGCAGCAGCTACTTCCGGAACAGGGAGAGAGGCGGAAAAAAATAAAAGACTGTCATCCCGTAAACACGTCGCTGCTTTTCCTCCAGCCATCCGTCCGTTTCCCGATGGTTGAAACGCCTATCCCCGTGCTCCCAGCGGCTGGGCAGGGAAGGAGCTCTGGCTGCTTTATTATTGACCAGGCGCCGCTGTCCAGGGTGCTGATCTCCCTCTGCTGACGTGTGCGCTGCGGCCACATGCCCCGGGAGCCCGCGAAGTACAAACCCGCACCAGGACCCCTCTGCTGGGGACACCGGACTAAAACTCTAGCAAAGGTTAACCCTACAAGTTCCGAGGAAGCTTTTTAAATAAGCAGATTGGAAGAAAAACTCAGTTTAAAGGAGGTGCAGGATGTAACGAAGGTGTTTCGTTACTTGTTTAGAGTAATTTGTATCTTTGTTTTAGGTAACCCTAACCCCAGTGGACACTTTTCCGGACATATTTGCACTCTGCATTTTTAAGAAAACATTTACACATTAAGAAACATGTTTTCAAATATTTATTGATTATGTATTGATCTGTGTAATTCCTTCTGTCAGGCACTTGAGCAGCTACAGGTGGACAGATGCTGTAAGATAAAGACACAATATTAGCCACACTTGTAACTGTGTTTTAGTGTGGGTGCTGATTTTTAGTGCAACCTGTTTTCTCCTTTGTCTTCTCCAGGGTGTTCGGACCCCTTGGGACACACTTGAGAGTGCTTGGAAACACCAAGGAGGAAGTTGGTGGAGAGCTGCCACCTTAAGCTTTTAAATTTAAACTTGGATAAATAAAAATAAGAAAATGTGGGATGTGTTAAATCCTTTCTCTGCCTGCGGTGACTCTAGCTTTGCTGCTCAGTGGTCATTTGTCACAAGTACATATTACACATAATACAAAGAAGTCACAAAAAAGTAAGCCATACATCTTCATAGACATTGTGCCGTTTTTTTCTTGGAAGCGAGTGGAAGTTTAAAACCCCGGAATCTGAACAGAGACAGAGGCTATTTTTGTATCTGCAGCACTTACTCTGGCCAGTCACACATTCAGATGGATGCAAACTTGGAGTTTAGTATCTTGCCCAAGGATACTTCGACACATGGACTGGAGGAGTCAGGGATCACTCCACTGACCTTCCGATTGGGACACAACCAACTCTACCACCTGAACCACCGGTGCCCCAAGGCAAACAACAAAACCAAAGACTGTGTTAATGAGTCCCGATAAACATGGTGCATAAACATCTGTCCTGTATTCATGTCTAAGAATGTTTTTTTTCAAAGACAGTAAATATTAGACAAATCCTATCCTTTTTCAGATGAAGTTTTGTAGTAAATTAATAACTAAAGCATGAGTAAGCTGCACAAATGAAAACAGTCTCAAACACTACACAGGCACAACTGCAGAGGTGTGGTAACAATGGTTAGAGCTACAGAGCTACATGGTTATAAACACATTAACCCCCATCCTGCTTTTTCTTAAAGTGTGTGGACACAAACACCACCCTATGGGACGAAGAAGACACAGAAGACAGACCAAACTACATCTGCATGACGAGACCAAACACTTTAATGCCTCATGAAAGAATCACAATCTAAGCTCTAGTAATTCTTTCATGAGGCATTAAAATGGCAAGGCATTTAGCTCAAACTTGCTTATCGGTGCTAATGAAACACGATTTAGAACTAAATCGTGTTCTTCTGAATAGCTTTGGCCACTCGGGTCTCGTTAAAACCAAGAGGAAAAATCACTGCAGCCTTATCTAACACAGGGTCAATACATCACCATTCAACAAGCAGAAACTGTTGACCACGTACAACAATGTGTTGCCCTTAACAGAAAAGTTTTGACTTAAATGATTGATTATGTACCCGATTTGTTTATGCTGCCTCCTAGTGGCCCTTCTTTGTAATGACTGGGCCAGTTTTTTAGCTTCTCGTTGGAGTGTTAGCTGGCCACGGAGAATGCAGCTGCACACATGCTGTGCCTTTGAGCTTATTTGCCTGTAATCAGCTCCTTTACTACTTTTGATAGCTGGATAGTGATTGATCTGTCATAGTGTTTCTTATTTCCTCTGACGTTTTAAATCTTATTAATTTGAAGAAGCTAACTGGAAGGTGCCATCTTGAGTAAGCTAGCTCATTACTGGTGTGTTCTGCCTTCTCGGTAAGCTGCGAAGTAGTTTGATTTATTTTGCTGAATCTGCTGCCATTTGCATGGAGTAATATGCTTGTATATTTCTGTGATCTTTCAGTTTTATTCCGCTGATATTTGTTCAGTAAACCTTGCAAAGAATTCAAGGACTTGTCGGTTTATTGGAACATCTACGTGTTAACTGGCTGTCTGGCTCTGCCTGAAATGCACTGCGAGGACAGCATACATCAGTATAACTTGAAGAGTGCAGATAATCAGTAGAGCAAAGAGGAAAAAGTTGTGACAGTTCTTTAAAAAAACTCTAGTATTTAGTGTGGTGAAATATTGTGTAATTTGATAGTTAAGTCATCTGAAATGTTGAACGTCTCTTGGGTGGAAAGTGATAATAACTCTTCGCGAGTTATGAGTTAAATAGACACAGCATTTTGGTAAAACGCTGTAATTTAAAAATTCTGAAATCAACTGGTTTAATACAACAGAGCTTAAATCAAACTAGTAGCAAAACTGCTGAATCAAGTACAAGTAATCTAAATTGTACTCAAGTGCAGTCATTTTTCTTGCCTCTGGCCTCATATCTGGGGTCCTTTCCAGCTTTTCTCATTACCTTTTCCAACCCTGACAGCACCACTCCGCCTGAGGGTCATTTCTGCAATACTGAGACCACATTTTCGTTATTCACTCCCAAAATTAAACTCTTAATGCAGTTTATAAGCCTCCTTCTCACATCCAGGAGTGAGTATTGAACCTTAAAAGAACTAGTTTGACATTTAGGCCATGTTCACACCCAGTATAGCCCTGCAGTGAGATTCAGCACAACAACAATGCGGGGTTGGAAAAAAAAAGTCAAACCAAACTGTTGCTGCAGGATCATCTGGCAAGATGTTGTGTTGGTCTGTCAAATACATGCTGCACTTCTACCTCACAGTGTAAACAGGTACCACAGGGTTTCCAGAGTTATAAAATCCTGTCTGACAGTAATGCATGGATTACTGAACGAGCCTAAAGATTCAGTGGGTGTGTCTGCAAAGTGTCAGACAAAGATACATAAAATGACAGTAAGAAGAGGCCAATCATCACAGGAAGAGAGCAAGAAAACTGTGTAGATACACAAAAGGAAACTTAAAATGACCACACAGTGACAAAAAACAGCTGCAGAGACTAAAACATCTACAAAAAACATAAAGTGAGAACAAAAATATATTATTCCTCACAAAAAGGAGGAAAAGACAACAATAAATGAAAACTTAAAATGACATTAAAGTCTCAAAAATTGACATCGTAGGGATGCAAAACAGCTGGTGAGCCTAAAGCATCTAAATAGAGACATGGTGACAATGAAAAAGAGATAATGAAAACTATAAACCAAAATAACACAAAATAACCACATGGACTCAAAACTGCTGCAACAACAGAAACATTTGTAAAGACACACAAAATGACAACACAAAACAATTACACTGACAGAACAATAACAATGATGAAATGCAAAAGGACCACAGAAATTGCAACAAGCACTAATCACAAAGAAAAACCAACAAAATAGAGAAAATGACAACAAAAGCAAATTAATGATCACATTTAGTAGATCACAACAATGATGGACAGCCACGTAACCACAAAAGACTCAAAATGACCACCTAGAGATGCGAAACAGCCACAGAGTCGTTTCTGAGGAGAAACAAAAGGACAAAAAGAGGTAATCTGTCACTTAAACAGACAAAGACAACCACAAAGAGACATGGAAGGAACACAGAGATTTAAAATGACATTAAAGAGGATGAAGATGGTCAGGCAGAGACTCAAAACAGCTGGAGACAGTAAAACATCTGAAAAATGACACAAAATGACAACAAACCAGGGCAACACATAAAAATACGAAGACAACAATGAAGAGATATGAAAGGACAACAACGAGACTCTGAAATGTCACAAGTCACACAAACGAAATGACCAAAAAAGATGCAAAAAGCAAACAGAGTTACAAGCAGATCACAAAGAGATGAAAAAATGAGGTCGGGCATCG